AATTATTTTGCCTTGGCCAGTTTGGCTCAGCGGTTAGAGCGCTGGCCCACGAATCAGAGTCCTGGGTTCAGTTCCACTAAGAGCACGTACCTTGGTTGCAGTTTGTCCCTGGCACCCGTTGGGGTCGTTTGGGTAGCAACCAGTCAATGTGTCCCTCTCACATTGATGTTTCTCTCTCTCTCTTCCTCCCTTTCTCCCTCCCACTCTATCTGAAGATAAATGCAAAAAAAAAAAAAAAAAAAAAAAATGTCCTCGGGTGAGGATAAAAAAATAAATAAATAAAAATTTTAACTCTGGTCCTTTTCACATTTTTCCTGGCATAGGTGTGACGTATGAAACCAACTTGTTTTTTCTCTAGAAGGCTACACAGTGATCTCAATATCCATTAAATAAATAATTTAAACCCCTCTCCTCTATGTATCTGAGATGCAACAACGGTCATCATGTACTAAATTCCTATAGACATCTGTGATTCTATCTGGACTTTCTCTCTTTTTAAATTCATCTTTCTATTCATGCATACTATCACATTATTTTAATTATGATCATTTTTTAAAATCTATTTTAATATCTGATAAATGTAGTCACCCTTCATTACTTTGCTTCTTCAGCATTTCCTAAATCTTCCTGTTTGATTTCTCCTCTTTTAAATGTGAATTTTAGAACTGATTCATCTAGTTAAAAAATTTTTAAAAGGCCTGATATTTTTATTAAAATTGATTTTAATTTACAGATTAATTTAGGATTATGAGTCTTCTTATACATGATCATGTATGTCTTTGCATTTCCTCATCTGTATCCTGCCCATTTCTTAAGTTTCTTCCTGGTATTTCATCTCTTGTTTTTAAGAATGTTTTTAAAAATATTTTTTCTTTATTGATTTGAGAGAGAGAGAAAGGGAGAGGGAGAGAGAGAGAGAAACATCAATGAGAGAGAACATCAACTGGCTGCCTCCTGCACACCTCCTACAGGGGACTGGGCCCACAACCTGGGCATGTGCCCTGACAGGGAATCAAACCAGCGACCTCTTGGAACATGGGTTAATGCTCAACCACTGAGCCACACCAGTCCGGCTAAGGATATTTTTAAAAGTTTATTGTATCAATAATGTGTATTGTACCTAGACTTCCTCTGAGAAAAGAAAAACTACAAACTTTAGTTGAAAACAAAGACTTTAACTATTAATTAGCCTTGATAAAATAAAGAACTATAAGATTAAGCAATGTTATAGAAAGATAATCTAAAAAAAATTAACGAGAAATATGACACTTTTAAACAAACTGCAGAATTATAACAACAGTAAAATAAAGTGACTAATATCCCATTCTGATGGACAGTAATTAGAAATAGTGTAGCTCAATTTGCTGAAACATGTAAGTCACAGCAAAAACCCCAAACTGCCTAAATTATCAAAAACGACAAATTAGCCCTGGCCAGTTTGGTTCAGTGGTTAGAGCATCAGCCTGCGGTCCAGAGAGACCTGGGTTCTGTTCCTGCTAAGGGCATGTACCTTGGTTGCAGTTTGTCCCTGGCCCTGGTTGTCGTACGGGTGGCAGCCACTCAATGTGTCCCTTTCACATCAATGTTTCTCTCTCTCTCTCCCTCCCTCTCTGAACAAAAAATGGAAAAATGTCCTTAGGTGAGGATTAAAAAAACAAACAAACAAACGAAAACCCCACAGACTTCCAGTCAAGATGGCGGCCTAGGTAAACGCGGTATCGCGTCCTCCCACAACCACATCAAAGTTACAACTAAACTACAAAACAACCATCATTCAAAACCGCCTGAAATCAAGCTGAATGGAAGACCTACAACTACGAAATTAAAGCAGCAGCCACATCCAGACTGGTAGGAGGGGCGGAGGCAGACGGGCTGGTCCCACACCCACGGGTGGCGGATAAAAATCAGAAGGCTCCCGCGGCGGGAAGGTCCTCCCTGAGGACTGAGGGGTCCCTGTCCCACACCAGGTGCCCCGCTCAGGGTTCCAGTGCCAAGAAGAGAAGTCCCCATAACTTCTGGCTGAAAAAACCAGCGGAAACTGAGGCTCAGGGAGGCTGAAGCGGCTGGAGCCCCAGGCAGCTCCCTAAAGGGCCCGCGCACGGACTTATCGGACTCTCTCCCTCTAAGCTTGGAGGGGAGGCAGCTCGAGGGGCACCAGAGTCATACAGGGAAGAACTGAGCTGTTTAGCATTGGAGCGAGGGCTGGAGAGGGGGCTTTCTCGGGGACAAACGTGCTGTAAGAGGCCTTTGTTCCTTTGGTAAGCCCTTCCCGGGGGCGGCAGACAGTCGCCATATCTGGGACTCCAGCAACCTGGCTCACACTGGTAGCCCCGCCCTGTTGTCTCCCTGAGGCCCCGCCCCGCCCAACTTTCAAGCCCACCCAAGCTGTTGCCACTTGCTTAACCATAGGATTGGCCAGTCTTGGATCCTGCTTCAGGTTTTTCCTAAATTCTTTCAAACAAGCAGCATCTGATCTCAGCGAGCCCCATACCTCTCATTAAGTAATACACTGAAACAAACACAGGGAGGCAGCCATAATGAGGAGACAAAGAAACAGGTCCCAAATGAAAGAACAGAACAAAACCCCAAGAAAAGAACTAAGCGAAATGGAGATAAGCAACCTAACAGATGCTGAGTTCAAAATACTGCTTATAAGGATGCTCAACGAACTTAGTGAGAACCTCGGTGAACTTAGGGAGGGCCTCAAGAGCATAAAAAAGGACTAGTTAGAAATCATGGATACACAGAATTGAAGGAGGCATTAACTGAAATAAAGAATAATTTACACAGCTTCAATAATAGAGTACGTAAATCCAAGAAGCAAACCATCAATATGGAATATAAGGAAGCAACAAATGCCCAATCAGAACAGCAAAAAGAAAAAAGAATCCAAAAAAATGAGGATAGTGTAAGGAGCCTCTGGGACAACTTCAAGCGTGCCAACATTCGCATCTTGGGGGTGCCAGAAGAAGAAGAGCGAGAACAAGAAATCGAAAACCTGTTTGAAACAATAATGGCAGAAAACTTTCCTAACTTGGTGAAGGAAACAGACATACAAGTCCAGGAAGCACAGAGAGTCGCAAACAAGATGAACCCCAAGAGGCCCACACCAAGACACATCATCATCAAAATGCAAAAGGTTCAAGACAAACAGAGAATATTAAAAGTAGCAAGAGAAAGGCAGCTAGTTACCTACAAGGGAGTTCCCATTAGGCTGTCAGCTGATTTCTCAAAAGAAACTTTGCAGGCCAGAAGGGAGTGGCAAGAAATATTCAGAATGATGAAAACCAAGAACCTACAACCAAAATTACTCTATCCTGCAAAGCTGTCATTTAGAATCGATGGACATATAAAAACTTTCCCAGACAAGAAAAAGTTAAAGGAGTTCATCACTACCAAACCGTTATTATATGAGATGATGAAGGGTCTTTTTGAAGAAAAAGATAAAATGTATGAACAAACAAAATGGCAATGAATACATATCTATCAACAATGGAATCTACAAACAAAATGAACAGGTAGAACAGAAACATTCTCACAGATACAGAGAACATTTTGTTGGTTGCCAGTTGGGAGGGGGGTTGGGGGAATGGGTGAAAAAGGTGAAGGGATTAAGAAGCACAAATTCATTACTAGACTGACAAACCTCAAAGGGAAAGGGGTTGGGGGGTGGGTGGGAAGAAATAAACCAAAGAACTTATATGCATAATCAATGGACACAGACAATAGTGTGGGAAAAGGTGGGAGGGAGGCGGGAGTGGGGAGGAGGGGGGTCAATGGGGGAAAAATGTGGAACATCTGTAATACATTTTACATCCAACAATAAAGATTAAAAAAAAACCCCACAAATTAGCAGTATGAAACACACTAACACATCACATTTTAATTTTGTTATTGTAAATGAGGAAAATAGTAAAAACATCATCAGCAAGTTCATCTTTTTTTTTTTCATTTAAGGGCCTTTAAATTTTTTTTCAAGCAAGATCATCTTTAAATAAATTTATTCTTATATTTCACCACTATCTCCAGAAATCATTAAAACTAATTTCCATTTCTACTCATACTAGTAACTTTATTATTTCTAGGCCTTCCCTGAATTTTCCCACCATTTATTTATTTATTTTTTAACTGTATTATTATTTTTTTATCCTCACTCAAGGACATTTTTGCCTTTATCTTCAGATAGAACAAGAGGGAGAGAGGGGCAAAGAGAGAGAGAGAAACGTTGATGTCAGAGAGACACAACGAGTGGCTGCCACCCTCACGACCCCAACCGGGGCCAGGGATAAACTGCAAAAGAGGCATGTGCCCTTAGCGGGAACTGAACCTGGGACTCTCTGGTCCACGGGCCAACACTCTAACCACTGAGCCAAATCAGTCAGGGCTTTTCCCACCATTTAAAATAAAAAAAATCTTGCACATCTTTTTACCAGGTACTTAGACATAATATGAGAACTAATGATCTAATTCTTCTAATATACTTCAAGATTCCACTCAAAGTAATAGAAGGTTTTGCGATGTGTTAGAAAGCAGGGTAACACTGGAAAAGGAAAACTCATTTCACATGAAAAGTAATTCTCAGAAAGTAATATATTAGAGTCACTTGATTTGTTTTTATATAAAGTGAAATAAAGCTCTTGAGGTGATAAAAAAGAGTTTCACAAAATATAACAATGTATATATAACCTTATAGCTTTGTTAAATACTTCTTAGTACATTCTTGAATATTTTTTGGAACACAGTGGGGTATAGATAATTATATACAACAAAGCTATATTCAAAGCCTGTGATGTGAGAAAAACTGGAACTGCACATTTAATGAGAAGATGCATAAGTATAAAAAGCCCTTTAAAGTTGGTTAATACAATATATGTAACATATAATTATTCTGAAAACTTAAGTTTTAGTGCTAGTCCTCTTGAAGACTAAAAAAAAAAAAAATCAATGTAGTAATGATACTCCCAACTTATTGATTTTATTTTAAATAAAAACATTATTACCTCCGTGGTTTTCCCATAAGCCGCCTGATTTTTCCCCATTCTACTCTTGTTAATTTTCTTGTTTTCAAATTAGGGAAAGATTCCTTTAGACATACACAGAAATCATTATCACCTTCAAAGAGTGGTCTATAAAATAGAAGTGGTGTTTTAATGGTTAATATACAATGTGTTACTTGAGACATAAAATCAAAAATATGTATTACAATTTTCAACATCAAACTACTCACAAAATTCCAAACTTTCACTTCTACCCAAAACATATAAATAACATTCAAAACATTCAAAGTGCTAAACCTAAATTAAATCCTTGACATTTGTTAAACAAATAATGTGTAAAAGTTACTCGGGGAATACTGTCTGTGCTTGAGATGTCCAGAAGACACATTTTTGTGAAATCTCTTACAGGAGTATATCCTCTGGTGGTGGGGGTGGGGGTGGGGGTGGGGGTAGGGAGTCCTGGCATTGTATATGGTGAGGATAAGCAATGTTAGCTACAAAGTTATCTGTCCCAAAGGTAATACCATCATCAAGGAGTCCTCTTTGAGATTAAATCAGTTTTAGAAAACTAAAGCACTCCAGAGAGTTAGATTGGAATTCAAGTATTCACATCACACTAGGACATCCCCAGAGCTTGCTTATATACCTATGGAAAATCTGTGGACAAAAATAAAACAATTCTATTCATGAGTATGGGCAACCAGGCACCAGCAATGATATACAAAGGTCTTGGGCTTAAATATGAACACTCATGAGATTCACAAGATTCAGGGTACACAACTGGTTTGGAAAGCAGAGAAGGGATAAGTAGCCACCAGTAACTAGTATAGATTAGATTGAGATGGATGAGAAACCAGAATATTTTCTCAGTAAATTCTGTTTTTTAATAGATCTCACCCGAATTTCTTAATGTTTTATTTAAACATTTATGTGTAAATAGAGTACATAAGTACCACCAAATGAGAAAGACTATCCTCCTAAAAATTTTACTGAATCAACAATTTCTATTATACATACTAGCACTTAAAAATCTCAAGATTTATAAAATAAGTCCCATTCATTGCAAATAATAGTGCTTTGTTTCATAGTCTTTGTAAATTATAATACAGAAATATACTTTCATTTTATTTTTCACTAAAACGCCTAACTTCTTCCTCAAAAGAGCAAAAGGGGAAGAGAACTACAAGAAATGGAAATGGATCAAACCAGAGGAATAGAAAAAGGAATTTAGGACAAAATAGGATCAAAATGAGCCTACAAAAAAGGTTATAGCTTATAACATATGAAAAACTTAAATTTTTGGTTCAAGTAATATTCATGATAAAATTCATGATACATACTTATCTATATTTGAGTAGAACCATTCATATATGCACCATTTATGTGCTTTGGGAAGCTTGAGTAGGTTACGTAATCGAAAACCAATCTTCTGTGAGGCTTTCTTATCTGGTGTTGACATTGTTGCTGTAAATTTCTATACCAAAAAAAAGACATTAATTATAGTTCTATTAAGTAAAAATGAGCATCTGTAACATTGAATACATTTGTAAAAAGGTAGATTGTGGTTAAGTGCTCAAAAAGATTCAACAATATTCAACATGAAATTTGTGTTATTATTTAATAAACATTCTAATTAATTCTGACAAAGTTAATTAAAACTTCCAGTTTGATAACCTATTCTGACAAGGAAGGTGAAATATTTGCCCCCAATGTTTGCACTGCAGTACAATTTAATTTTAATTAAGGTACGTAGGAAAAAGATACTTGTGAGAAATATTCCTGAGTTCTTGGACCAGAAAAGACCAGTAAGAACTCTCTACTCATGAGAGAATGAGGGAGAAAACAATCAGTAAGCACTAGGCCCAGGGAACTTCCAGTGATTTCTTATATAAACCAGAGCTCCAATGCTATTAAATTGTTTCAAATCACTGAAGAAGAAAAAAAAGGTTTCAAACTATTTTTATAAAGACAACATAATGTAGATGATAAAATCTGCCTAAGTATAATAAAAGTAAATTTCAGAAAATATCACTCATTTCTATGAATTTTAAAAATGCTTGGAAAGATATTGTGTGTTCATGGATTGCAAAAATTAATACAGGGTGGGGCAAAAGTAGGTTTACAGTTGTCCATATGGAAAATAATACAATAATTAATAAATAATAATACAAGAATAAACTCTGTGCCCTGGCCAGTTTGGCTCAGCAGTTAGAGCATCGGCCCACGGACCAAAGAGTCACAGGTTTGATCCTTGGCCCCGGTTGGGGTTGTTTGAGAGGCAAGCTATCAATGTCTCTCTCTCACATTGATGTTTCTCTCTCCCTCCCTCCCTCCCCCCCCCCTCTCCTCCCTCCCTCATACTCTATCTTAAAAAAAAAAAATCAATGGAAAAATATTCTCGGGTGAGGATTAAAAAAGAAAAAATAATAAACTCTGTGTTTCACATACTCACAACTGTAAACTTACTTTTGCTTCACCTTGTGTTGTTAAAATGTCCATATTATCCAAAACAATCTAGAGATTCAATACAATGCCTATTAAAATTCCAATGGTACTTTTCACAGAAATAGAACAAGCAATCCTAACATTTGTATGGAACCACAAAGACCCCAAATCTCCAAAGCAATCTTGAGAAAGAAGAACAAAGCTAGAGTCATCACAGCCGTGATTTCAAACTATATTACAAAGCTACAGTAATCAAAATAGTATGATATTGGCACAAAAACAGACACATAGATCAATGGAATGGAAAAGAAAGCCCAAATATAAACCCATACACATGATAAAGTAATTCAAAGGAGCCAAGACTATTTAACGGGGAAAGGACAGTCTTCCATAAACGCTATTGGGAAAACTGGAAAAACACATGTAAAAGAATGAAACTGAATTACTATCTTACACCACACACGAAAACTAACTCAAAATCTATTAAAGAATTGCATGTAAAACTTGAAACCCTAAAACTCCTAGAAGAAAACATAGGCAGTAATAAGCTCCTTGACATTGGTCTTAGTGACAATTTTTTGGATTTGACATCAAAAGCAAAGGCATCGAAATAAAAATTAACAAGTGGGACTACATCAAACTAAAAAGCTTTTGCACAGCAAAGGAAATCAAAAACAAAACGAAAAGGCAACCTACCTACAGAGTCAAACTATACACATTGTATATTAGTTTCAATTTTTTTTTTTATCCTCACCCGAGGATATTTTTCCATTTTTTGTACAGATAGAGTGGGAGGGAGAGAGAGGAAGGGAGAGAGAGAGAGAAACATCAACGTGAAGGGACACAGTTTCAATTTTTTTTAAACTGAATTTTAGATGTTTATGTACATTTGTCCTCAATATTTAAAAAACTTCAAAATATCTTCTTGTTCATTTTACAGAACATGAACATTTTTACTATTTGAAATTTTTTTCTAGTAGAGCATACTGCTGGTCATGCCTTTAATTCCCTTTATTATCCAATCCTTGGTTGAGAAAATCACCTCCGCTATGGCCCATACTACTGAAAAATCTCATAACACTTTTTTGGAGAAAAATGACAGGGAAGTAGGGAATAATTACATCAAAAATTATAAACTTGATAAGAGAAAAATTACATTATTTTTTAAGTTAATACTTCCTTATCCAATTTTCATTCATTGCTTGGATTCTTACATGTTTACTATGACTTTTTTAAAAGATGCCGAAAATGAAAAAAGAGATATGATTTCATGTTGTATATTTTCCTCCTCTTTTTTTTTTTTGGTACGTGCCCCTAGCAGGAACCAAACCCGGGACTCTGGACCGCAGGCCAATGCTCCAACCACTGAGCCAAACTGGCCAGGGCTATTTTCTTCTTTTGAATAAAGGAAGTCTTCAACATACTTCCCTCAGTGATAAAGTAAAATACCCTCTCATTTCCATGCCAAACTCCAAACTGATTCTATATAGTCCACTATCTCCATGCTTAAAAGAAAGTTTGTATTTGTAAAACTGAGGACTGGCTTTATACTCTGGTTTCAAGTCCATCAATAAAATAATGGCCTTCTCTAGGTAACTAAAATAGGAGCTGAGTTGGAGCACTGATTTTAAAAAACTTCTTACTCAAAATGCAACAGAATAACCCTGGTTGGTTTGCTCAGTGGTTAGAGTGTCTGCCCACGGACCAATGAGTTGTGGGTTTGATTCCAGTCAAGGACATGTACCTCAGTTGCCTTTCGTCCCCGGCCCTGGTCAGGGTCCTGCGGGAGGCAGCCAGTCAATGTGTCTCTCTCACGACGATGTTTCTCTCTCCCTCCCTCCCACTCTATCTGAAGATAAATGGAAAAATATCCTTGGGTGAGGATTTAAAAAAAAAGGGTAACAAAATAAATATAAACTTATTACACTGAGCAAATATTCACACTTCCTATCACGTGAAACAAATTGTAGCACACACATACCTGTGGAACCATTGCAACTCTCTGGTTTCTTTTAGGTGATCTTGTATTTATTTGTCTGTCATCTTCATCAGAAAAGAGTCGACTTCGTTTTGAATTTCTGAAAGGCTATAATATAAATTGTTTTATTTCATGAAGAGACTGAACACTACCCATTTTTGTTCCAAAAGATAATTCTATGTTGGAAAATACAGCTAACTCTGGATTATCAGCAAGCAGTACAGAAGGATGCAATATGGGTATTACAAAGTACACAAAGTCAAATACAAATAATCTTAGACTGAGAAAGTAGTAAGATACATATTTATGCAATGTGTTAACAAATAAAATACCAAGCTGATGATTAAAACTAGAACCCAAATTTCCTTAGTACACTGACAGTTTGGAATGAAGATAGCAAAATAAATTCTGGAAATTCTAGTTCTTCTTATGATGGTGTTTAGATTAACACCAGTTGGGTGTATCACATGATATGTCTATTGTATAGGGCTGGGCTGGGGCAAAGTTACTAGATCAATCTAGAGGGTAAATCTAAATGTATATAATATTATACTATATCTGCTGTCAAAATTGTTAACTGAATTTCCATTTGTAAATAAAAATACAAGATACCTATAACAGATATCTGACAAATGCCTGTAGAACTAAAAAAAATTTAAGTACCCAAATTACATCATATACTTAAGGGCCTATAATATAAAAATTTTACAGTCTATTCTAGGTTCAGAGGCCTCATTAATACAGAAGGACAGAAATAATACCCCAATAGTACCTGCATCGTTTTTCAAATCCTTTTTCTACTATTCAAGACAGAGCGTCATACCTAGTTGGAAGGGAGCCAGATACAGAGGGACAGCAACATATGAGCAGCATCCAATTGGATCAAGGCTAGAGGTATGGATTCTTGAAATTAAACCCACAGAGAATCTCAACACACCATAGCCCTAACAGGAAGTCCCTTCTCCTCTGCTCCCCCCTACCAAGAGGAAGACGAGAATGATGGTGATAGAACTGATAAAGTGTAGAAAGTCCTGCATGTTCGCTGTGGCCAGCTGTACACACTATTGTGACTATTGCTGTCTATCCCAGTTCCAGGCTTGTTTTATGATTGATCCCTAAAGCCTCCTGGCTACCTAAACTGGGTAGGGAAGGAGCAGAAGTCCCCCAAATCACTAGTCATGCCAACTATATGCTCATCTCTACTTCCAACCTCTAAATGCAATTACCCTTGACCTACACAAGATTTTAAAATCTTATCACTTGCCCTGGCCAGTTTGGCTCAGCAGTTAGAGCATCGGCCTGCGGTCCAGAGAGACCTGGGTTTGGTTCCCACTAAGGGCATGTACCTCGGTTGCAGTTTGTCCCCGGCCCTGGTTGGTCGTGCGGGTGGCAGCCACTCAATGTGTCCCTTTCACGTCAATGTTTCTCCCTCTCTCCCTCCCTCCCACTCTATCTGAACAAAATATCAAAAATGTCCTCGGGTGAGGATTAAAAAAAATAAAATAAAATCTTATCACTTATTTATATATCTTTTTGTAGGGACCAGAGCCATGTAAATATTTACTATCTAATAAAAGTATGACTTGGGGTTTTTGTAGGTTTTGTTTTTGCCTATTTAAAAAAAAAACTACAATTACTTAACAAATGCTTAATGATGACCTGGTTATCACAGACTACAGATTATTTACCTATATATGATCATATACTGTTCAATGGCATTTAAAGACTTAAATGCTTGCCCTGGTGGGGTAGCTCAGTTGGCTTGAGTGTCTTCCCAATATGCCAAGGCTGCGGGTCCAATCACTGGTCAAGGCACATATAAAAAGCAACCAATAAATGCATAAATAAGTGGAACAACAAATTGATGTTTCTCTCTAAAATCAATCAATAAAAAAAATACAAACTCAAATGCTTGAAATTGGGGGAAAACCTTGGAAAACTTTTACTGTGCCATAAGAACTTGCACATAATAATAATATAGACAATTTAGCTATCATATTCTAAAGTGTGAGAAAAACTAATTCCTTACCATTTCCACAGCAGAGCCTGTATTTCTGCCTTTCCAAACAGGTGTTTTTTGTAAAGAACTGAACTTTTCATTCCATGTGTTAGATAAACTTCCCTCTGTAATAAATAATTATTACTAATAAGACTCAAGTTTAGTTCAAAGGATTCATACTATGAACATTGCCTTTTTTTTTTTAATCCTCACCTGAGGATATTTTTCCATCTATCTTCAGATGGGGAAGAGAGGGAGGGGGGAAGAGAGAGAGAGGATGAGAGAGAGAGAGAGAGAGAGAGAGAGAGAGAGAGAGAAACTTCTATGTGAGAGAGACAGATCAATTGGTTGCCTCCTGCACAACCCCTCAGGGTCAGGGACGAACCACAACTGAGGTACGTGCCCTTGACCAGAATCGAACCCTTGACTCTTTGGTCTGTGGGCTGATGCTCTAACCACTGAGCAAACTGGCCAGGGCACAAATATTTATCAATATTAAAAAATACAATGATTATAATAATTTTAGTTTATTACAAATGAAAAATCTCTTGTATTTTTGTTGTTGTTGTTGTAAAACTAAATAATTTGGAAAGGCAACGTAGCTTGAAAATACTGAATTTTCTTATTAAAACATATGTGGCTTTGCCCTGGTTGGTGTGGTTCAGTGGTTAGAGTGTTGGCCTGCATACCAAAGGGTTACCAATTCGATTCCTGGTCAAGGGCATGCACCTGAGTTGTAGGTTTGATCCCTGGCCCAGTCGGGGGCATGTGGGAGGCAACCAATCGATGTATCTCTCTCACACTGATGTTTCTTTCTCTCTCTTCCCCTCCCTCCCTTTCACTCTCTCTAAAAATCAATGGAAAAAATATCCTTGGATGAGGATTAATAACAACAAAAAGTATGGCTTCTTTCTTTTTAGTTTTTAATAATTCCTCTATTCTAATTTTCCAAGAACCACCTCTTAAGTGCAATCTAATTGAAAGCAGGGCAATTAAAAAAAAAAAAAAAAGCTTCTTCTAACCTTGAATTTAGAGCATACTTCTTTTTTTTTTAATCTTCACCTGAGGATATTTTTCCATTTATCTTCAGATAGAGCGGAGGGAGGGAGGGAGGAAGAGAGAGACAAACATCTATGTGAGAGAGACACATTGACTGGCTGCCACTCACATGACCCCAACTGGGGCCAGGGACAAACTGCAACCGAAGAATGTACCCTTATCAGGAACCGAACCCGGGTCTCCCTGGTCTGCGGGCCGACGCTCTAACTGCTGAGCCAAACCGGCCAGGACTAGAGCACATTTCTAAATGTCTTCTACTTTAATATATGAAACCCTTGATATCCAAAAATGAAATGTATGGTGTTTCTGTTTTCCTTAATTCAAAGAAAAGTCTTCAGTTATATGCAACCAGAAAAGATTCAATCAAGTGACTGATTAGATATACTATGAAAAGAAGGACGAGTTTAATTTTTACAAAAAGGGTATGTTGCCATGGCCGTTTTGGCTCAGTGTTTAGAGCGTGGGCCCACAGACCAATGAGTCATGGGTTCGATTCCGGCCAAGGGCATGTACCTCGGTTGTGTTAGTCCCCGGCCCTGGTCCGGTCATGTGGGAGGCAACCAGTTGATGTGGCTCTATCACATCAATGTTTCTCTCTGTCTCTCTCTCTCTCCCTCCCTCCCACTCTATCTGCTGATAAATAGAAAAGTATCCTCTGGTGAGGAATAAAAATTAAAAAAAGAGAAGAGTAAGAAATTTGTTCATATATATGTAATATAAGTTTTTTTTTAAACATTGTTTTCTTTATTGATTTTTAGACAGATAGGAAGGGAGAGGGAGAGAGAGATAGAACCATCGATGAGAGAGAACATTGACTGGCTGCCTCCTGCACACCCTCCCTGCCACCCACCTGGGGATCAGGCCCACAACCTGGGCATGTGCCCTGACAGGGAACTGAACTGGTGACCTCTTGGTGCACGTGTTGACACTCAACCACTGAGCCACACTGGCTGGGAAAATTTTTTTTTTTTAAAGAGAAACAATTTTGCTCTGCTGGGGTGGCTCACTGGATTGAGCATCATCCCATAGACTGAGAGGTCCTGGTTCGATTCCTGGTCAGGGCACATGCCCAGGTTGCAGGCTTGATCCCCAATAGGGGGCATGCAGGAGGCAGCCAATTGATGTTTCTCTCTCACATGGATACTTCTATCTCCCCCCCTTACACTAAAAAAAAAAAAATTCAATAAAAACATTAAAAAAAAAACAAACAATTTTAGCACTGAGGAAAAATAATGAAATGCTTTTTCAGATGTATATTCTATTACAAAAGAAAAGAGGTGGGGTGGGGTTGACCTTGGTAGGCAAATAAATTAGGGTACCTCTGGAAGATAAGTGTTCTCAAGCCAGAGGGATTTAATTTGGTAAATCACCAATTCAAAGCACAACATAGTAGTTTTAAAAACTAAAATGAACCTCAGAATATCGAGCCTGGTTCCAGTAGAATCTTGCTCAAGAGGTAAAACTTCAAAATGAACTATATTAACAGGGTTGGTCTAATGTACTACTTACAGAAAGATATAGCAAGACCAAGGAACATAGCTTTTTTCCTCAGAAAAAAAGTTACTATTGTTCTTTTATTTTTAAGCAACTTGAATTATTAGTTAGAAGGCAAGCTTCTTTAAGAAATAAATTATTATGTTGCCCTGCTGGTATGGCTTAGTGGTTGATCGTGGACCCATGCACCAAGAGGTCACCAGTTTGATTCCCAGTCAGGGCACATGCCCAGATTGTGAGCCAAATCCTGGGGGGGGGGGGTTGGGGGGGGTCGATCAATGTTCTCTCTCATCGATGTTTCTATCTCTCTCTCCCTCTCCCTTCCTCGCTCTGTAAAATCAATAAAGAAAAACAAATTTTAAAATAAATTATTATACAAAAATACAGCTTAGAACAATTGTTTGATAAATATTTTTAAAAAATGTTTGCACTGGCTGGTTTGGCTCAGTGGTTAGAGTGTCGGCCCGTGGACCAATGAGTCGGGGGTTTGATTCCAGTCAAGGGCACATACCTTAGTTGCGGTTTGTCCCCGGCCCTGGTCCGGTTGTGTGGGAGGCAACCAGTCAATGTGTCTCTCACATCTATGTTTCTTTCTCTCTCTCTCTCTCCCCCCCTCCCTCCCACTCTATCTGATGATAAAGAGAAAAATATCCTCAGGTGAGGATTAAAGAAAAAATAAAATAAATAAAAATATATGTTTTAAATCTAGTAAGAAAGTTCTTAGCCTGGCTGATGTGGCTCAGTGGTTGAGCACTGACCCATGCACCAAGAGATCGCCGGTTCAATTCCCCAGTCAGGGCACATGCCCGCATTGTAGGCCCAATTCCCAGTGTAGGAGGGGCATGCAGGAGGCAGCCAATCTATGTTTCTCTCTCTCTCTCTCTCTCTCTCTCTAAAAAGCAATAAAGAAAAAAAAATTTAAAAAAAAAGAAAGTTCTTAGTAATATCTAACAATGAAGGACCGATTCTTATGTAACAGCATATGAATTTAAAGTTATTACCAGTGAAAACCAGTATTTAAAAGTTATAATGAATCATAACTTAGAAAAGAGAAATACTATATCCAAATTAACTAATTAAAGTTCTAGCTTATGCCATACCTAAAGAATCATGCTATGATCCTTACCTTTTAAACTGACAAGTGCTTTTGCTGAAGAGCCTGTAATTAAAACAAATCAATATTATTTCATAATCAACGTGAGAGAAAAGAATTTGGTTTGGGGGTAAAAGTGATCCATTTAGTTTGAGCAATGTTGAGTTTGAAGTGATGGTGGTATGTGCAATTAGAAATAACTAGTAGACAATTCAAGCCATACACCAGAACTCGTAAGATAAGGAAGAAATGGAGAGAGACACTTGGGATTCTTACTGAAGTTGTGAGAAGTGAAGAATTTCCCTAGGGAGAAAAAAGTAGAAAGACAGGAAAGAGGAAGACTAAGGACAGACGCAATTTTCGATGCTCATCTAAAAGTGTGCTGGTGTTAGAGAAGAAAAAGAGAAAGGGAACTGACACCTATTGAGGCAAAGATCAGAAGTGGTAATAGAGTGGAGAAAACAAATGATCCTGGCACTGTTACAGAATGCAGTAAGTACCTTTGATGTCTAGAATGCAGGTATGTGCAACATTTAAAGATCCAAGCTGCAAAAGGAGTTCAGAAAAGGTAAGAGGAACTAGCATAAAGTTGAAGAGGTTCACTGACTAAAACAAACTTTAGTGTATATTAGAATAATCAGGAAGCACCTCAAACACAAAGAATCTATATGATTAATAAAGGTCCTCAGGGAATTCTGTTGCAAGTAACCCTCTGGCTCACTCTGACAAACAGGGATACTGGTGTAAATCAAGGATAGAATCTATGGGTGAGGGGAAGTAAGAGAATAAAAAAAAAAATTTTATGAAAAAGGGAGCACACTAAACTGAGAATCTCTGAATTGGATATGTGAGTTGCAAAGAAGTCCAAGTCATTTAAAAAATAATAAAGGATGCCGCTTATATGTGGCATCTAAAAAATAAACAAACTCAGATAGGTAGAGAACAGACTGGTGTTTGCCAGGGTGGAGGAAATAGGTGAAAAGGTACAAACTTCTAGTTATAAGACAAATACATCCAGGGATGTAATATACAGCATGGTGACTATAATTAACAATACTGTATTACATATCTAAAATTGCTAAAACAGTAGATCTTAAGTTCTCATTACAAGAAAAAAATTGTTGCCTGGCCAGTGTGGCTCAATGGTTGAGTCTTGACGCATGCACCAAGAGGGTGCTGGTTTGATTCCTGTTCAGGGCACATGCCCAGGTTATGGGCCCAATCCCCAGTGCAGGGGCATGTAGGAGGGGGCCAATCGATGTTCTCTCTCATTGATGTTTCTATCTCTCTCCCTCTCTCTCCCTCTCTCTCTAAAAATCAATAAAGGAAAAAAAAATTGTAACGATCTGTAGTAATGGGTGTTAGCTAGATTTATTGTGGTAATAATTTTTACTATATACACATACATCAAATCATTATGTTGTATGCCTAAAACAATAAAATATTATGTCAATTATATCTCAATTTTTATAAGAAATT